AAAAACTAAACTCTCTCAAGAAAGATTCTTTATTTTCTAAGCAAAGCCAGGGTTTCCTGCTGCCATAATTCTACAACTATCTTCTGCTCTCTCACTCTCAACTTTACTATAATGAAGCAAAGCCAAATCAAAACCAGTCTCATCTATTTCTGACTTTTTTGCTTATGAAAAAGCTACTTGATAAGGAAACAGCAATCTCTTAATTGTATAAAAATTTTCTTATTTTGCCGTTAAAAACCATGTTGCTACACTAATCTTCTTCTTTTCCTTCAAAAGCTTTGTGGCTAATTCTGAAGCGATAGTCTCCAAAGCACATGTAATTTTGCTTCGTACTAATACTGTAATCTTTATTACAGACTAGCCGTATCCCTAAACCAATAATTTTTGGAGCTAATTCCTAAATACTAGTTTTAACCACAAGTAATTTACTCTTTCGCGAGTAAAAAGTTATGAACGACTTTTCCACTGCTACTAATAAACAGTAAACTGCAAGTTAAGGAACCACTGAAACAAAATCAATCAGGCAGAAAAAAGTAAAAAACTCCTACAAAGCGAACAAAGATGAAACTTACTGTGATACAGTAGTCTTCCAGAGACAACAGCTTTGAAGGAATTTTCTTCTGTTTGGCTTCTAACCATAATTCCTCAGCGGCGTCCTGTGCAGTGCCCGTTTCACTACCAAACAAAAACAATAGAGGTTTAACCGGCATAAGCTACAAGACCCTGAAGATCCCAATAACATGGTTGCAATAAAGGGAAATTCTTTCTTCTAAGTGTCAGGCGCTAATAAAGTTTACACAATCACCCCAAACTTGACTTTTTTGACAACCTTCTATCATCGTTTTTTGTTTATTAAGTCTTTCACTCTTGTTCTATTAGCCTGTGGCCATTTTAGGCATATCTAAAGATTTCTTCCTTACTTTCTAAAAATCTAGTGCTGAACTATGATTTTATTCCTCACACAGTTTCAACCAGTAATGCTTGAGTAACGTGCGGTGTACCAGGTAACAAATTTAGTACTTTCTGTCCCTTACTAAATTTTGTCTCACCATTTCATCCACTATTTTCTGCCAGTATCTGCGCTATCGCTACAACACTTAATAAGACTGCTTTTGTCATGCATATGCCTCAAAACGGAGTAAAAACCAAATCAGTCCAATATAATTTAAAAACCGATGTTCAGACTAGTTCTTTCTACCTGTTGAAACAAATAAAAAACTAAAAAAAAAAACAAAACAAACAATTTCTTGATACATATATTGATACAATTCTGGTAATTGCTTACTGATAACTTCTCGATCATCTCATGCACTGAGTTAATAATCCTTATGTGCGCGAAGATTTGCATTAAGGTACTTTTGAACCTTTCAAGTTTCTAAGGCCGCAGTTACAAAGAAAAACTATTATCTATTACAAAAGAAAGCCATAAGACAGTGGTGTTATGATGCCTTATATCCCAGACGAATATATCGTGATCAAGAACCTTGCTTACAAAAAATGATGGTAGATTAGTGCAAAAAGGATGGAGTTCACGCGTAAAGTTGCTAAATCTTAATTACGGTTCGATTTCGTTAATGAGTCGCAATCAATATTCATAAAAGAAACCAATTAATTGTCGAGAGAAAACAACGAGAAGCACCAAGAAAGTGGGGATGTATAACTGAAGGGATTTGGAATTGCGCACTGACCATTTATAACTATTATAGCTTACAAGGTGTGGCACACTGCCAGCCTTTGAGGACCTGCCTTGAACTGTTTCTATTTCAGGAATCCTTAGTTGCATTTCAAAGCCCGGAATTCGTTTAACAGTACCTACTATACGAGTTTTGGTTTTTTACTAGATCCTTAAAGAGTTGGAGCGTCTAGTACCATTTCTTCCAGTAATAAGGGTGTTTTTTTTCTGAAAGTGTATGTTTGATTTTTGGTCAACTGTGGTTTTAGACCGATTTAATCGAAATTTAAGAAAATTAGCCAGTGCAGAATCTCCATCTAAGATGAGAAAAACATAAAAGTTTTTACTATGACTAGCAAAAAGCAAATTCTCTAAGCACTGCTGCGCTTGAACCCTTGCAGTCTTGGAGAATTTACGGCATGAAAGTCCAACTCTAAATATGCATTTCAAATTCTACAATATGGCCCAAGATTAGAAAGATGGATGTTGACCTGTAAAAAGCAATGTATAGATCATTTGAGCGGTATTAGATTTGTTGCGAAGCCTGCGGTACGATTTGAGAGTACCTCTCATATCTCTGCTTCTCGGTACGGTCGGCCTAATTTTTTGTGGTATTTTTATGCTGGGGGTGGGAGATTACGTGACAGGTAAAAATGTTAATTTCTGTACCATTCATAGTATTACATGTCTTCTGCGTTAACTTTGAGTAAATTAGGTTTTTAAGCGGTCGTAGTGTATGATTGAATGCGGCAGAACGTACTGCTTACACTGGTTACGCTGCAGATCATATGGAAGCCAGAAATGAATGGGGATTTGTATCTGGTCAGTCCGTAATTAATGGTCGGTTTCTCTCAAAATAAAGTTATCCATTGAGGGTAAAACTTCACGAATTAATACCCGGTTACGAAAGTAATATTAATATCCAATAACGTTAAAGTGTCAGAAACCAGAGGTAAAAAAATTGGCAGAAGTGGCTCTGACGAGCACTGTATCACGCAGATTTTTGTGCAGGTGGATAGATTAAAATTTCGGAAAAGAGAAGTGAACCCCTAATTTGTCTGTTATTAATGGTAAAAAATATGATTCTATCACTCCATGTCAAGCCATATTCTTTTTTACTTGGCGCCTTAAAATCTTTCTGAGCCGATCACTACCGTTGGTTTGCGGCATTTGAAAGAATATCAACACTTAAATTTTTCGATGAGTCCTAATCTGAGTAAACTTTTAGCTCTGTGTGCTTGTATCCTAGAAATGGTAATTTTATTCATACCTGCGTGAACTGGAAGGTTTCCGAATTTTTGACGGACTGTTACTTCCAGTTTCATAATAGTTTCTTCTCAGTCTGTTTATTACCCTTTGAAACAGTATTACTTTTGCTGAAAATTTAAAAAAAATTTCAGAAACAAGCATTTTCTGAAACTTAAAAGAAGAGAGCAATTTCATACTGTGCAATGTCGTGACGTTTTAAGCACAACTTGTTTTAATAGAATCGTAGATTACTGGACGGAAAGTGAAGCGGCGCAATAAAAACTCGTGTTTTAATGTACTCTGAGAATCTAAAGTATTTTAAGATTTTTTCCGTTACACAAGAAGATTTTTTTTGTTTGGATGGTTGGAATTGATAAAATGAGTGCACTATGAGCTATGTGATATTTAGAAAACAATGAATTATTAAATTATGCCAATGGTCATCGGTTCATATACCGTTTTTGAATGGAGGAGAAGTAATTTATGTTATCTACTGTTGAGGAAAATATTGTACAAAAAGTTCTTCTAAATCTAGCCTAAGAGCGAAAATTTATTGTTTACAGTGATGAAAATTAATAAGGGATAAGAATGACCAATGCCTTGCTACGTATTTCTCGTGAGCGATTAAAGAAACACACTGGCGTAAGAATGAATGATCCGACACCCTGTAGTTCTACGCGGGGTAAGAAGTTCCGAAATGAAAACTAAAAAACCCACTGTATAATTTTCACCATGGGTACTGTGTTTTGTCATAGGTACTGTAGATATTTTAGCATTTCTTTAAAATTCAGTGTACATGTAAATCAATTGGATCGTTTTGGGAAAAAACACCTTTAAAAAAAATTAACAACCGATATTTTTTGCTGACTTCCATGGTTCACGCAAACATATTAAGTTCCGTGCCATCTAGTCTTCGAAGATTGCACTCTGTTGTCTCCCTCAGTTTTAGTTCTAGTATTTTATTGGTTATGAACTTTTACCAATGATTTTCTGATATGCTGAAGACAATTCAAGGAAAAAACTATTTATTTTAGTTTCACCAAAAAATAGGACTTCTTGTCTTATTTCAGTTACAAATTAAGATTTTTCTTTTGGCGAACCAACACAGTCGTTCACCTTTTTAATGGATCTTATGATTTATTCTCCGTTGTTAAACCTAATAAGCCAACAGAACATTTTTTACGCAGACCATTTTTTATACTTCTTCAGCTCCATGTGTGTATGGTATAAGCCTTATATTTGATTTCAAAACGACCACAGTTATATGTTGACAAAATTTTAGTGATGACAAAATATATGTAGCAGAGAAGCATTGTTCTGCTAACAAAATTGATATAAAAGAGGGCTCGTGATAACATGCAGCAAAGTAACTGTTCTCTGCCTTCTAAGGTATCTTGGTACTCCTAATAATTTTTGTACCAAGATTTTCTTTTTGCGACTGTAAAGTTAACTG